CGCGAAGCGCGGACGCGTTGAGGCACGTGAGCGCGTCTCCTTGATGTTTCCGGCCGCCGCACGATCAATTCTTTGAGCTGTTCGGTTCGTTCGTTGCGCCTGTTGAGGTGAAGAATACGATCGACCACGACGCTTCTTACAACAACTCAAGACTCGGAAATGGCACCCCCTACAACTGCTCTTCAAGACGAACGCAAACGAACAGAGTGTTCTCAATATTAATCGGCTGTTCGTACGCAGCATTTTAATAACTCCGACCGTCAAACAAACCGAACAGTTAAGAATTGAGCAGGCAATAGTTTGGTACGATATACACTACTTAATAACATACTAGAGTACTATGTCGTCGCGGATAGGCTCAACAACTATCATAACAAGGTCCAGATGTCCCAGCTCGTAAAGAATCAATAAATAAGGCCAACGTACAGACCCATGCTCCAAGGGTCTTCACAAGCTCACACTGAATTTACGATGAGTGTTACATGCGGGATACGGTACGCGGACTTGACGGGGAATCCTGTACGAAAGGTGACGCGGGTTCCGCAAATCTTAGTGTCTTGCGTTTCTTTACTGGGGGTTCGACAAGTTTGTCACCGCCGGCGTCGAAAGCGTCGACAGACTCGCCTGTTGCGGCTGGAATCCGTAGTATGGAAGTTGATTGTAAGCCCTCGTCCGTGCCTTCAGCTTGCTTCACTTCTGGGAATAGAGCTATATCCAGGTCGGCCTGGGAGCTGTGGTCTGATTCCTTGAGGAACTTAGGATGCTACAGAAACAGTCGTTAGAGATATGCACGTCCTGCCCGATGCTACGGCACTCACCGCAATGAAGTGGCGCATACCACTCTCCTGTATGAGATCCGGCACTTTACACAAAGCACCTTTGAGTGCTTCTCGTCTCGCCACCATAACTTCCTCGGAGGTGGACCGTATAGCCAGCGTGGTAACTGCATTCAAATGAGTGTATATCAGGGAAAGAGAAAGAAACAACCCACCAGTGATGGGTCTAGTTTGGCCAATGCGATGAGCACGCTGTGAATGGAGTAGCAGCATGAGTAGAATGCGGTCTCGGAAAGAAGTCACAAGTTACCTTAATAGCTTGGCTCTCAACATCTGGTCGCCAAACGGGTTCACAGAAGATAATCCGTGAGGCCGCTGTTAAGTTCCTGAGGCAATATGCATCAGATAGACACCAGACATGTGCACTGTTTAGCACTCACAAACCACGAGCACCATGCTTCAGATCCATTAGAAATACCCGGAATTTATCCGAACTCTGGAAGGTCATAACGAGTTGCTGCCGGACCTGCGCATCCACGTTCGACGTGAATTGAAGAAATCTGACTCCGATTACGTCCAGGCCCTCGGCGACGTATGCTAGCGACAAAGGCATCTTGGAAAAGACGAGAAACTTCTCCGTCGAGGCATGTTGCGCGACCTGACCAAGACATGAACTAATTCTCATCAATCGTAAGAACTGATGATCCATACCTCTCGTAGGATATAGTTCAGCTTCGACGACGTCGTTCTGCCAATCCGAAGGCCTGACACCGGCGATCGTGCAAGGAACGAGGCCCGAACAGATGACATGACATCAGGCTGAAGGTCCTTTGCTACGCCCTCGTTGCTCTCCACATCTTCAAGCCCTTCCCTAGCACGCACAAGTCTGCTCTGGGCGGCTTTTAGCTCGAGGAGTACTTCTTTGATCTTCTCCGGTGCCTTCTCCTTCCTCGCGACATCCATTGCTTTCAAAGCCGAGCTATCCACTTCATAATCATCCTTCTTATTCCGGCGATTGCCTTTGCGAGACTTCTCGCGAAGCAGAATCAGCATATGCTTGTGACGGTCTTCTTCGGTCACAAGGTTGCCCCACTCTATGAGACTGCTTTCTGAGGCCAGAGGGGAGGCTAGAACCATATCTCGCAGCCGGACCAGGCGGTCTGGCTGTAGGAACGGCTCAGCAGCAGTGGCGTTCGACGATGGCTCGGGTGTGTCCTCTGCAGACAACCTTGACCAGGCCTGTTGAATGTTACCCGGAGCATTTCGCACGCGATACTGGACATCTGGATGATCTTGCATGGAGCACCATGTTGCATCTTCTGCGGCGGCACGACTAGAAATGGGAGCCATATGAACTATTGTAGGAGCAAGCAAATTGCAGTGATAGGACATACACGTGATAGATAGCCTCAGTCAGAAGTCGGACATCTTCGGGAGATATGCCTCTACTTATGGCTCTCTCCATAGTGGCAGATGCGTTTCGGCTCAGTTCCATCACGTTGAACAAGGTAGAGTCCGTATGCCAAAACAAGATCCTGCAGAGGTCGCATCATCAACTCCAATACCCTAGATAGCTGATGCTTACTGTGTCATGTTTTCGATAGCTTGTAGCAGAGCGTCTACGTTCTACAGCGATAGTGTGCTTTGTCGGACTCAGTGCCCGCATGTAATTCGACAAAGGACTCACTGAGGAATGGAAAAGGTAGTCCTGGAGGACAGTGGCATTAGACACTCGGTATTATCTACTAACGTTCTTAACTTACTTGATGCACTCGTTCTGAGTCAATGGCGTTCACAGCGATAGTGGCTTGTAGTGCGTTGTAAGACTTCAAAGAGTACGGATCCAGATCCAACAGGACGGTTTCTTGATGAAGTGACGGGAGGATCACATTTTTTTCGACATCCTCAATCCTATGTCGAATCATAACCGTCTCCATCACCTGAATGAGAACTTGGATTGCACCAGGAAGAGGACCATCAGGGCCGAAGAGGGGTGTGATGACAAATTTATTGAACGTGGATGAGTTGGCGAAATGACGGGTCCCAAGAAAGCGTGAAATCATTGTGCCGAGCTTGCGCAAGTCCTCGCGGTCATTACTCGTCCATTTCCTTGACTGGGATAGCGACTTCTCGGTTGTAGCTTCCACAACTTGATCTGCAGTGGCATCTGAGCCGCCTGAAACCCGTCTATCGAAGTCACTGGAGCCCCCGAAACTCAGTCCTAGCAGGTTAGTTGTGGGCGTGCCAGTGACGAGCCATCGACGCTCTGCACTTAGCAACATCGTGAATTGCGATAGATTCGTATTGGTAGTTGAGGAGACATGGCCTTCGTCCACAATTAACCTCTTCCAGCGTATTTGAAGTAACGGAGAGACATTTGTTTGTTCATCACAGTGACAGTCGGGCACACGTGTACCAGGGAAGCATTGACATCCACAGATCTTCCAGGAGTGCAGTTTCAAGATATCAGTCTTTGCGAAAGAGAGACCTAGACCGTGTTGGCACAATTGACGAACAAATCGAATATACGAAACTCACTGTTATGACTCAACAAGACAATCTGATGAACAATTGATAAGGACATATGATAGACTGGAGAATAGAGAGGACTTACATCATAATCCGAGGCCAGTCTTGATGCACGAGGAATCAGAGCCCCAGGTCGTCCGATAAACACTCGTATTCCTGTGTCACAGTGCTTTTGGATTTCCATATCCCATTGACCCACAAGGTTCACCGGCACAACTATTAACGATGCTGTCGTGAGATACATCCTCCTAGGACCAAAGCTAGCAGATTTCCTCGACGTTCTACGAGGCAGGATCTCGAGATCAAAGTGATAGTAGAATGGGGTGTTTGCCTGCAGCAGGTACCACAATGGAAGCTGTTCTAGTGATTCTTCGTCTGTACTGATCCCTGTATTTTCTGGAGAAACGCGGATATGATGAATTAGAATTTCGGAGAGCGGAGGTATATTGTGTCCCTTGTCATGAAAAGGTTCATCACTATTTCGACGAAGACGTCTCCTCGTCTCGACGGGCTCATCGAAAGGAAATTCCCGAAAAGACAGTGGTGTCATAATGGAACGCGTATCAAGAATTGATTCCTCTGGACATGATAAATGGTCGAGTGTAGCAAGAATTAAGGCAAGGACCATTACGGTTTTTCCAGTCCCTTATGAGCCGCTCCATAAGCCAGTCCGTTTCAAAAAAGGCAGGGGTACCTACCTAGTTCTTCACACAAGATACCGCCGCAGGATTGGGATATGGTGGGACACTCACACAAAATTTCCATATCGGCGGGCCGGAAGTAGAACGTGCGTCCGTCTACACCGACCAAAGGCAAGTAGAGCGGATCCAGTACAGCGAAGGCTTGGGATTCTTTTGCTAACATTGCAGCCACAGATTCGGCTTGGTATGGGTACAGTGAAGAACGTAGACCATCAATTGGTTCTCCGGAAAGTATGGCTGTTATGCGGTCGCAAGCCGGACTTGTTTTGACTTCTTCGCGTAGCTTTACCACGTTTGGAGAAGGAAGATCGCTGTATATTCTCGTAGTGGTCCTATTATCCTGCAAAAAATTGGATTTATGTGCAAGCAAACAGAGATGCAGAGCATACGATCTCTCTACTGAAAATGGGTCGCGCAGCTCCGTCAGGAACGTAACCTTGCCATAGGCTGTCGTCCTGTATGATTCTGCCCATGATTGCTCTGATGGCTTTGCCCGCTTCTTTGACTGTATCGGGATTGCGAGCCCGCAGCGTCCCTTGGACGCCTGGCAGGTCGAAGGGGATGATGTACACCCTAACATAGAGTATTCGCCTTCCTTCGGCTTGTCTGCAGGTAGGGATTATGAATCGGTTTGCGGTCAGGAAGTCTATCCAACGCAGCAGGACATCTTCTCCTTTCTTCGCATGCCGAAGGTAGACTTGCCCAGAGAATGTGTGCCATCCGTCTTCACAATGTGTGTGATTGCAATGTAGTTCGTCATCGAGGAAATCAAAAACGATTACTCCGACAGGAAGGTAATTCGCAAGGCTATACCGGCCCTCGTACGATATCACCTCTGGAGCAGAATCACGGCAGTCAATACAACATAACGAACATACCGAGACCATAGCCCGAGCCCGAGTACGAGTGCGACAATATTCTTTTATCTAGAGTAAAGAACCTTCAGAAGCGCAGCAGGTGAGTTTGCGTCGATTCTTCCATTACCAAAATATTACGACACCAGCAGGATTTGAACCTGCGCGGGCAGAGCCCAAGAGATAACACACAATTCGAATCTCTCGCCTTAACCACTCGGCCATAGTGTCTTGGAAGTAATCTTTATACAGCAATTATATAACTATTCCACATCTGAATTCATCGTGGCATCGTTGCTTCGTCAAGACTTTACACTGACGTTCTGCAGCATTCCGACATTGGTGTGACTAGTACTCGGAATTCGCGACAGTTGTTGAGCATGGATTGGTGCGTTCTGATTATTCATGGGGTTTGCATTGTGCTCTCCTAACACCTTTTAGTTTGGAGTTCAATATCCATCAGCTTATCCTCTCCGACTTAGCAGGAGATGTTGACTGCGCGACGAACTCGGGAAATGATGCCTCCTCCACTCTAGGACTGTTTACTTCCGAAGTGCTAACGAGAAGCACCAAAGAAATCGAAGGTGCTACGCGAGCTGAGAGAGTGTTCATGGTATGACCTCCCGTAGCGCTTCCATTAATACTTTACCTCACTACAGTGTAGCCCGACTCTAGAGTTTACTGCAACATAGGTTTCGCTGAAATATCCGTGCATCTTTCTGAAACCTTGGCTGATAGTGCGATTCCTATACTCGGTGACATATTGCGCGATGTACCATTCATCGAATATGACCAATGCCTTTCGTGGGATGGTAAAATTGTACATGTATGGTCATGTCTGATACTAACGCTGTCATTAGACTGGGCACTTTCAGATCAACTTGTTTTCGCAACAGTGAAGGCGTTTTTGATGCTTGCTACTCAATATCCGAAACACCGTGAAGTAGCCATCGGTTCCGTGATAAGCTTCGCACAGGAGATCGTCAGCTGCCTGAGATTAGGGAGTTGTAAGTGCTCCTGTCGCCGGAGTCGATAGTGGTCTGACATTGTCCAGCTTATAATGCTCTCATACAGTTCGCGCCATCATTCCACGGCTTCTACCGTGCTATCATTTCGACTACGTTTCCGTGGCACTCCGGAGAATGGGCAAAGATATCCCAGTCCCTCAACGCTTTGCTGTCCCCCGATGTGGTGGATCGTCTCAATCGACTCTTGGTGGACGTTCTACAAGCAGAAGAAAGCGACCCTGAACGAATTCAGTTCATCCACACATTCCTCTCCCGATACGTCGCGCGGAACCGCCCACTTACGGGATACTTCATTGTGTGCTGCATCATGGAAGCTCAGTGGACGGTCTTATCTCAGTCCATGACTGTCTCGTCTACAGCGGACAATAAGAGAATCGTTCGGGTCACGGAAGCAGCAGCAGCTAACCAGGCGTGGATTGACTTGATGCGGCAGCCTGCTCTTGATATTGAACTTGCTGACGACGTTCGCGATCAATTGAATGCTACTGTAATCAGCGTTCTGCAATGCTTCACTGACCTTTTAATTCAAATCGAGGAAATGGAGGCGGAGCCTTCCCCTGACTCTTATGCGTGGGAGACGCTGTCAGAGAGTCTGGTATGAAATTAAGTCAACGATCAGCTTTTACACTGACTATCTTCTATCTCACTCACAGAAATTGGCGGCGGTCTGTTCGGTTGCCCAGAGACAGCTGGATTCATCACTGTTCAATCACTTGAAGCTCCTCTTAAGTGACGAGTCTCCTGTTTTCGACTCGCTCGTGCAAGAGGCGGCCCTAAAGGCCGCCACTATACTTGTCAGGAAGTGAGCATCCTGTGTCGGCTTGTGAGTGTCTATTATTAATCAGCCGTTAGCTTTCCAAATGTAGCTGCTGGCATGATTGTCCATCTTCGCCGTTTTGTTACCTCGCCTCTTCTCATTTTCGAGTTTGATTTTGCATCGGAAACACATGCACCCCGGCCGTTGTCTGCAGCAGCCAAATGTCTAGCACTCTGCGTTCAGGTTAGCCAAAGAAGCAATCGCATGAATAGCGCTAAAGATGACAACAGTTAGCTCCCGGCGACGACCTTATCATGTCGAACATGTATTCCCTCCTCAACTATGTCGCAGCAACTAGCAAAGAGATAAACGAAAGCTCCAGCGCCTCACAGATTATTAGCATATCCAATTACATGAAAACCGATTACGCCACTCTGCATTCAATTCAGAACGGCCTCTGTGGGTTTACCGAAGATGAAAAGAGACTTATTGGTATCAGTGCTATTTCCGTCGTCGCGAGATTAGCACTGGAATTCAAGATGGAGGAGGTGAGAGTCAAGGAGATGTGTGGGGTTTCTCCGTGACAACAGAAAGAATTATAGGTCACTCGCCTGACGATTTCAATGCTTCTGCAACGCCTGCGCTCGGCTGAGCCAACGGTGGAGGCGGCCATCGCGTACAATCTCGTTGACATGGCCCTTGCTGCCCCCGAAAGTGTCTTCATCGATGTTACCCGCGCATTCTCGGCTATTAACCGTTCAGCTAACCCTGATGACCCCAGATTCTCCAACAATATGGTATTTCTATCTTATCCTACTAGCATGTGTGTTTACTTATGCAAGTTTGCACTGCCTCCCAGGTCCTAGCTGCTCAAACTAGGCTTGCTCAGGGACTGCATCGGAGACCGGAACTTCACGAAGACTATCTTGTAGAGCTACTTTCTCTATTTGCAGACAAGGGCGTAGCCATACAGAACATAGCGATCTCCAACCGTGATCTTAAGGTAATAACGTCCACAATTTGTTCCATCTTTCGTCATTAACTCGGTTCCCGGACAGACGGATGACATGATAGAACAACTCGCGTCACTATTGCTCCCTATTGACGCGCTTCTTAGCCATACTGATCCTAAACTGCGAACGGATGCGTCACCGGGATTGATCGCCTTGTTCCGGAACATGTGGTTCTTGTGTGTTTTGTTCCAGTTCACATCTGGAAACGACAAAGAACATCCTGCTATGGACTGGCTCAAGCCTGCACTCACTCGCATTGCGATGAAAACGCCTATCCTGATTTTAGAAGACGCACATGATTCACTAACTAGTGATATTGAGTACAATTCTGTCATACGCCAAGAATATGCTGAAACCGTGCGTTGCCAAAAACATTTGAATAATCAGCGCTGAACCTCTTGTATAGATCATCTCGAAGCATCGCACTCTTCTCACGAACTATATAGCATTACGTACCGGCGAAATACGACATTTGTCCCCTGGACAAGTTATATTTCTTTTGGCAATGCATGATATGGAGAGTATGCGATCAGCCGCCGGCCTCCCTTCGTCTCTTGTATCCTACTTCACCAACAGTGGCATCAACGGTCATCCTGGCTTAAATGTTTGCATGGAATCAATTGCAGAAAAGGTAACGTAATGTACATGAAACTGTGTCGATTTAACGTCCTTCTCGCAGGTCATACGCGGCTGCGTCAACGACCTCAATACTCGTGTAATAGAACAGTCTTTGCCGGACAAGTTATCCGACGAGCTGCAGAATCTCCTGAAATGCAGCACGCATCGAGTTGCGAAGGCTCGCGAAGTGGCTGCGAAGTATCTTAACCGTTTGATCACGTCTTTCCCATCTCTTATGTGTGATTCGGCGTTCGTCTATGCCATCCTCGAGATGCTCACTTTGGTGCAACGGTCTTGTGAGAACGAATATACTGATGAGGTAAGTGGTTCGAAGGTTATCTTATCCTCGATATCGAAATGTAATCGTAGTTCAATCCGACATACGAGTTCCATTCCGATCGGTCGAACATCACTCTGTATATTACGGATAACTATCAAGTTCGGAAGGAAATCCTAGCTCAACTGCAGCGTAATGCAAACAGTTGGCTTCAGTTGGCTTTGGGGCGTGCCCCAGTTGAACTTCAATCTACGTTGCAGGTGAGCCAAGTCGTTGAGATCTCCTATGCTGCATAGTCAATTGTTCCACAAGAAATATCTTGCCATTAATCAATCTCTGTCTCCTGACGATTCGCTCGAGCTCGGCGCGACTGTCGCAACCAACTTCGGCAAAGCGATTGGCCCCGCGGAGCGGCAATTAGGTATTGGTGACAAAATACTTCTTGACAGTCTACTAACTCCTCCAAAAGCTTCTTTAGGATCTCTGGCGCCAGGGGAACATGACAGAGCGAAGATTCTGACTAGCCAGATTGCTGCGAAATTATACTTCGCCGGCCAGGCTGCTGGTATTCGTCTGGTCAATCGTATGGGTATGTGCATGGTAGTAGCGAGAGGCACAAGATCAGCTGATGGATGAGGGACAGTGGGGGACGATGACCTCGAAAAGCGACCAGCACCAACCGAGTTGAAACAGGAGAAACAAGTTCTCAAGGATCATCTTGAGAAGAACCTGCGGGATATCCGAGAGAAGCGTAGTAATCTTACAGTTCAGGACCTGAGGCGTCTATTGTTCAGATGCTCCGCTGCTATGCTGTCGCCACCCAAGGTGAGTTGCCCTATCCCACATCTCCGGTACATGCCATCACATAACACCTACAGCCCGACTACGACCTCCTCCACTACTTAATCATACTACCGTTCGAGGTGTTTTCTCCCTCGGCAGTGTCTACTGGTGTCGAAGTATGGACATGGGCTATCGCAGAGTGTCCAAGTATTGAAATGGCTCTGTTGACCGAGCTCAATTCTGCATGGGTGACGACCATCCGACAAGGCAAGGGATTCTTCTCCAAGTCTGTAAAGTGAGCTCGCCTACTATACTCCATCCTCTGCACTCAAGCTTATGCGTTTACTAGTTACGACGATCCATTCTACCACTCCATAGAGTACAGCCCCACCGACCGAGAGGGAATAGATCGAGCCAGGAAATCTGCACGGCGCCTGCTGTCTCCTCACCTACTTCTGATGCATATGTTGTTTAGCAGGCTTCAAGCGGCGAGGTACCGAAAGCCAGACCTGATGCTATTGATACAGCGGCTAGTCTTGACCTCTGCCAAAGCGCACAAATCGTTCAGGTCAGTCTTCTATATTCCCCTGGCTACCACAAGATGTTGATAATCACCTACATTTACAGCGCTCATCCCTTCGCTAGGGAAGCTCGTTTCTCCTTCCTTCTTTTTGCATTCGAGACCATGAAGAGCTGTCGACTGGACGCAGAATGTGAAAATGCGTTACGGGAGGACTTGTACTCAGCGGCTTTCT